CCAGCTGGTGTCTGTCTGTGTAGTGTAAACTAAGAGAAGAATTGTTGGTCCATCAGTAGGGTCGCTGTTGTACGTCCATCAGGGCGTGTTGGAAACCGACGACAACCTGTAACATATCGGTTGTCGTGTCAGTCGTGTATATAACCTGTAACATATCGGGTGCTGTCAGTCGTGTATATAACCTGTAACATATCGGGCGCTGTCAGTCGTGTACGTAACCTGTAACATATCGGGCGCTGTCAGTCATGTACATAACCTGTAACATATCGGGTGCTGTCAGTCGTGTATATAACCTGTAACATATCGGGCGCTGTCAGTCATGTATATAACCTGTAACACGTCGGGTACTTAGTTATCGGGCGCTGTGACGTCAGTGCGAGATCCTTTTATCTATATCAGCCTTGGTGAGACTTGTGCACAGACTGCCAATTAAATTCACTTCATTGATAGCAAGCAAATGAAGCCCGTGAAATTCCGGTTTAAAATTTGGCAACCAACGAACTAAGGTGGTCAGGCTCGCTGACTAGGCTGGTGCATGTCATCGTGTCTCTAATTCGATGCTCATGATATCAGTCACCGCATTGTCTGGTCCAGACAGGGATGGTTACATATTCATCTTGCTAAGTGGGGCTTAAAAGCCGCTTCATTTCTCACATGTAAGGTGTCAGTAAACAAGGGTTTATCAAACGTTTATCGAGGGTCATAATCAGGGCGAATTTGGGATCAATGTTTGACTTTAACCTACTACAGCGCTATTGACCTTTTGTACATTGTAAATAGCTATGATGAACAGAATCCCTACGTGACTTGTTAACACCGTATGAATGCCATCACCCGCATGAGAGACGTGTCCTTCTTTCCGTTCATAGTTTGTTAATTTCACGAGAAAGGTCTCTGTACAAAAGCAATGTATGTTAATCAAAGTGGTGAGATAAGTGTCTGTACCACCAGGGGGAATGTAGTACGTTAAATCTCACGTTCCTGAGGTTTAACCGTGCACTCATGCACCGCGAGTCTGACCTACATTGTAGATTACGTCATTTCCGGGGCAGGGAAGAGAGGAAGCATGGTGAATGGGAATGATGCCGTGCAGCAGGAAGAGCTGGAATGGTGGTACTGACACGGGCGCCACCCGGATACCAGGATGTCAGTCGGGACAAGTGGGCATCCACAACGAGATCCGGGTTGGTGGGCAGACTGGTGATTGCAACTAACTTCACTTTTGTTTCCAAGTTAATTAAGGTTTGCAATCATCCACGAAATGTACACGCGCAAGTTGCTACCTACAATGTCACTTCAACCGCATAATGATTTCAGGATATTCCTCCAGCTCCCTGGCGGAATCAGGCCTGCTTGTGTTATGTGTAGAAGGTGGTATACATGTTGTGTGTGATGTGTAGAAGGTGGTATACATGTTGTGTGTGATCTGTAGAAGGTGGTATACATGTTGTGTGTGATGTGTAGAAGGTGGTATACATATTGTGTGTGATGTGTAGAAGGTGGTATACATGTTGTGTGTGATGTGTAGAAGGTGGTATACATGTTGTGTGTGATGTGTGGAAGGTGGTATACATGTTGTGTGTGATGTGTAGAAGGTGGTATACATGTGTGTGATGTGTAGAAGGTGGTATACATGTTGTGTGTGATGTGTAGAAGGTGGTATACATGTTGTGTGTGATGTGTTGAAGGTGGTATACATGTTGTGTGTGATGTGTGGAAGGTGGTATACATGTTGTGTGTGATGTGTAGAAGGTGGTATACATGTTGTGTGTGATGTGTAGAAGGTGGTATACATGTGTGTGATGTGTAGAAGGTGGTATACATGTTGTGTGTGATGTGTAGAAGGTGGTATACATGTGTGTGATGTGTAGTCCACGGCAGCCCGCAACATCATCAACTCCAACCGCCACAACCTGTAGTACTCAATACAGTGTCGCTATAACATCACTGACACCTGACTGGTCATCGACTCCCACCAGCACCCCGGTATTCTGTGGAGTGCTACTACATCATTACAAGCAGCGACAGGATGCTAATTTGACGTGTCTGTTTGTGTGTGAGTGACGATTGCGCGTCTGTGAGTCACTTTCCACCAGTATATCCTTGCCTTCAAGTTTCCCAAGGCCTACTTAATAAGCCCAGTGATGTAAAGTCCGACGAAGTTGATTAATTCGAGGAATGTCTGCAAATGGAAAGTGAATATTCTGGTCCCTTTTACATATCATTATGTTATATGCGTTTATTAACAATGTGGGAAGTTGATGGAATTGGTTACGGACAGACTCTCACAAGAATCACGGTGAACACTGTTACCGACATGGTGAACCTGCCCTGTAGTTACGACCAAGCCGTACGTCTCCCCACAACTTGGGGCAGTGTGAAGACACATAGAAAACTTAACACGGTCACTGTTTGGTCTGCCTTGTCCAGTCTATTTACAGACCGCCGTGATTTAGGCTAGCAGGTCACAGAACAACAACGCTTAGCGCATCGTCAAGTGAACATCTTTGTGAAGACGGAGAGGAAGGTTGAAGGTTGCACATGGCGGCAGCTAGGAATGGTTATTTATGTGTCACAGAGAATATAAAGGCCACTGATGGGGAGAGGTCAGTATGACGACACACAGAAGCCGTCAGTGCGTGGGTGCACTCGACAGCCGCCTGTACCCCCTCTGTCGACACCCTGCCCCAGGGTCACATAATTGCCCTGACCCCCGCCGCAATTAATATAATTTCCCGGCGATCCCGAAAGATGTTTTCAAAATGTTGACGGGCATCCTGTGAGAAGTTCCAGAATAGACGCAAGCTGGACGATAAGACGGCGTTATGGCAGTTTGTTAGTTTGGTTGGTCTAAGTTTAAAGTAACCGCGATCTTATCTGTAAACATCATCGTACAAACATTGACAAGGTTACTGTTAGCCATGAGAGTCGGCCACAGCATGGTCGGTAGTAGGTACGTGGAGAGGTTAGTGTTAGCTGTGGGGTGGGGGCTTGGTTTGTGGGGAGGAAGGGGTGGGGTTACTGTTGTAGCTGTAGGCCATGCATTCATTCGCTTGGGATGAGGAGGAGGTGGAGGTAGGTTGAGTTGATGCTGGATCGTACTTGATGATTCAGTACTGGTTATATAAGTATAGACTAACATCTAGTCTCTGAAATGTACATATTTAACAGAAACAACAGTTCCTAAATTACAATAATATGATATAATGAAAAGGAGCCCAGAGACTTGCTTCATTTTCAGAAACTGCTTGACTTGCATGGGCATTCTTGGATAAATTTGTTTCAGGGTCTGTGACAGTAACAGTTTAACAAAAAGTTGGACACGATGCCCAATACTTTATGTTGTCAAGAGGCAGTCATTACACATGAAGTACTAGTGTCTGCTGGTGCACGTTTACCCATATCTAACTACTTCCTGGTGGGCCTAGCTGTCGCCGCGGTCTAGAGGCCATGCAAGCACTGATATCTGTGATCTCATCTAGAGGCCATGCAAGCACTGATATCTGTGATCTCATCTAGAGGTCATGCAAGCACTGATATCTGTGATCTCATCTAGAGGCCATGCAAGCACTGATATCTGTGATCTCATCTAGAGGTCATGCAAGCACTGATATCTGTGATCTCATCTAGAGGCCATGCTGGCACTGATATCTGTGATCTCATCTAGAGGCCATGCAAGCACTGATATCTGTGATCTCATCTAGAGGCCATGCAAGCACTGATATCTGTGATCTCATCTAGAGGCCATGCTGGCACTGATATCTGTCATCTGATCTTGTGGTCATACAGGCACTGATATCTGTCATCTGATCTAGTGGTCATACAGGCACTGATATCTGTCATCTGATCCAGTGGCCATACAGGCACTGATATCTGTCATCTGATCTAGTGGTCATACAGGCACTGATATCTGTCATCTGATCTAGTGGTCATACAGGCACTGATATCTGTCATCTGATCAGTGGTCATACAGGCACTGATATCTGTCATCTGATCTTGTGGTCATACAGGCACTGATATCTGTCATCTGATCCAGTGGCCATACAGGCACTGATATCTGTCATCTGATCCAGTGGTCATACAGGCACTGATATCTGTCATCTGATCTAGTGGTCATACAGGCACTGATATCTGTCATCTGATCTAATGGTCATACAGGCACTGATATCTGTCATCTGATCTAGTGGTCATTCAGGCACTGGTATCTGTCATCTCATCTAGAGGCCATGCTGGCACTGATATCTGTCATCTCATCTAGAGGCCATACAGGCACTGATATCCTTCATCTCATCTAGAGGCCATGCTGGCACTGATATCTGTCATCACATCTAGAGGCCATGCAAGCACTGATATCTGTCATCTCATCTAGAGGCCATGCTGGCACTGATATCTGTCATCTCATCTTGAGGTATGGCACTGATATCTGTGATCTCATCTAGAGGCAATAAATATAAGTATGATCTGGGATCGTATCTAGAGGCCATGCATGCTCGTATTATCTGTGATCTAATTTAGAAGCCACATTTACCCTATAGACATAACAAAGTTATGCCATGGAGTGTTTAGTTGTGGTAATTTTGTTTTTTGTTACAACACTTACACCATCGTGACCTACATGGGGTCAGGTATCCTCCCCTGCTATCAGTCCATCTAAGCACGGTCGCCTAAATGGGACGCAATGTTTCAAGTTCATCGTGACCTTAATGACGCTGGACGTTAACCCCACCCCACGTCATCAACGACTTCATCAGTGTCCAACAACAGCAGCGCCGTAATCTGAACTAGCAATTTTCTCCACGCTGCTGTTTGCAGATGGTATTACTACGCACACAAAAGCAAGGTCTCGGGCTGTGATCAATGTGCGTTAATTATTAAATATTCATTGTTGTACTAGCATGTATAGAGTTAATGTCGAGTATTATGTTACCATCTCCTACAAGAGTTATCAGGAAACGACCCCCACAAATGACAAGGGGACTTTAGTTCTGCTGGTCACACAGTCACTGGAGTTTCGTTCTTTGCGCACCAGGCTATAATGATGACGGGTGTAGTGTGCGTCCTTGCGGCAGTATTGTCTGCTGGTCAACTTGCAGCACACAGTGGACACTTTCGGACGTTCAAAAATGAAGTAGACATTCTCAGGTCAGACTTCCGTTCTGAGGCGGACTTATTACGACAGGAGATGAAAAATGTAACCACCCAATTGGCAAAGGATATGTTACAATATAAAATGTCTCGGAGACAGAAGAGTTCTAGGGGGTTAAATAACAAGATTATAGATGGCTGGCTGATTTACCTGGTGAGATTTGCGTCCAGTGTGGACAAGAGGATTACTTCGCTAGGGACGGCTAGAGAGTTACGCGATGATAAAATCGAAACATGGATGGGCGAAATTGAAGAAAGGCTTGAGAAACTGGAGAACATTACAAAACGACGACATCGTAGTAAGAAAAGGAACAGGACAGAATCGGTGAAGAAAGACATTCCTAGAGGTATCATGTAATATTATTACACTTAGTGCTTACACGCACAGTCTGTCTGCAATCTATTAGCATGTGCCCTTTAGACTCCCAATGTGGTTGGTGCGGATGCAGTCAGATGTATTCCCGTCCAAAGTATTGGTTATGCATGCCCGCTGTAGGCCACGCAGGTACCAGTGGCACACGTGGTCGTCAAGTGTTGTTGCATTGGATATGTGCTGTGTACATGTCTGTGTTTGACTTTGTAATACGAGCGTTCCCCGTCTCTGTTTCGATGTCTCCTATTGTGGCTAGTATTCGAAAGGACATCATCTGTAGCTGGTAACCCAAGGCTAACACATTAATGAACAAAAAACAGTTTTCGTCCACAAATGATGTCCTCACTCCATTTCCTCCGACTCCAGATGCAACCTTCCTAGATAGTCGTTAACCTTATTGAGGACTTGGCGGAGTTAATGAATGAGTTTGTACCTGTTCCTCACTGCCTCGTAATCAATGAAGGATAAGGTTGCCGCGAGGTGTGGTTTCTGCCACCTCTCATCCTCTTTACCATTGCGTCTGGATAACACATAATTACATCCCCCTCCCACCCAAACAGACAGGTGCCCCCACACCACCCCTCCAGCCACTGCACGTACGGGTAGACCGTGGCCTCTGATGTCGACAGACATCTTTCACGTATGCAAGATAAGGCTCGAGGATCGTTGATATTGATGTCTGGTTCCATGCTGACGAAGGGAACTTGATGTCCATCTTGTCAAAAGTGAAACTGTTTTGACCTTGGAAAGCAGTTCTATGCATTTCAGTTTGTCCACTTTCATGCTCGTGCAGATTTCGCCAGGTCAAGTGTTGTGATTTGATAAATGGACAATGTAATTTCAAAACTTAGGCAGAATTTATGCAGTTCTAACAAAATCTAGATTCCAGGTGGCCAACTCTGTTATGTCCTATTTGTATGTTGATCCCGCGGATACGGGTTGTCTGTGACTCCCTATTGACACTCGCGACCAGGAAGGGTCATTATAGCCCCGTCATAGTCGACATTACTGATCAGCAGACTGGAGCCTGGCGCCACCGAGACTTTGGTCGGAACTGAGTCAACACACTTGTGTGAGCTGCAGGCTTCTCACAGTCCATTTCATGGAGTATATTCATATCCTTTATGTAGTTGTGACGCTTCTCGCGTGTTGCCACATGACTGATAATATTATTGCAAGCGTATGAATACATATACGCTCTGCAACATTTAATCGTATAAAATAAAATGTACAAAAATAAAACTTATATCTACGGGAGGTTTTGATGATCACACAAGAACGCGTTAGGAATGTCTTCACGACGTCAGTCCGGGAACCACACATCTTTGGGGCTCACTTTGAAACATGTTAAAGATAAAAAACAACAACGTTTGATCAGTATTATTTAAAATAACAGCGTAGCCATTTTACGAGAACATGCACGTGTCCTGCTAGTTCTCACGTCCCTTTGAAAATATTTCACAATGCATTGTCACATGTATCATATTGTAATTGGCGGAAGTCGATGCGGATAGCTACATAGCTATTGTTGGGCCCGGTCGGAAGTTGTACTGTAGCTGGTAGAACGTTGTATATGCTGTCACGTCGAAGGAAGATTTAAAGCACTACAATAATGAAAATTTATTTTGAAAATTATCATAATTCCCCGCCAAGTTTGGAAACCACTTAACTTCATTAAACTGTCCACGAGGACGACCCTACATCCAGCCCGCCCCAGAGCCGGCGTTGAGTAGATGGTGTTAACGATCCAGCTATTGTGATCGTAGTGAATGCAAGTGATCTGAAATAGGAAATAGTTAACAGAGGTGTGGAAAAAACTAACACTATCTCACCTAAATAGACTCCCATTGTTATTTTAGCACCACTGATAATACAGTAAACGAATAAATTATTTACACAAACGGTTTAATTCACTTCTTTGTTCGAGATGACGTTAGAGAAAAGTAAATGCCAAGTTTGCATAGAAGATGGCGATGATGGTGACTGTATAGCTGTTTTCTCTCATACAGCGGTTCTGTGTGGTGAATACACGCTCTCGATCTGTAGCTGTTTGTGTGATAAAACCGAGATGACCGAGCAGGCATCTTCTGATGTATGAGGTAACTAGTGTAGAATCAGTGTCCACAGTTAGTAGCATTTACTGGTTTCCATAGTAACGTTAAGTGTAGACAAGGACCGACATGACATGACTTGTATGTTCATTAGTACCCTCTTGTTAATATCGGATGGTAAGTTAAAGATTACACAACACATATACGTCATGTACATGTTGTCTCTCGTGGGTGAACTGTTAGTGTGAGTATACAATCAGCCAGGCATGATCTTCACTGGGAAGACAAGCTTTGATCTGTGACACCCCCTACCTTCCCCACCACCCGTCTGTGTCGGATATCCCCCAACAGTTGCGCCAGTAATAACGTAATTTGCCATGTTGAATGTCAAAGTGAAGAGAAACAAATTTAAGTAGGATTGCTCAACCGACAAGGCATTCATAGCCATGTTTTAATCTCAAAACGTCTACACGGCTCTTCATGTGGTACACACTTGTCCCCCTACATCCGCCCTTGTATAATCATAGTTTATATTATGTATCTATGTCCCTCCGGGACTCCACTACAGGTAAATACATCCGTCGATGTGAGCGCCGAGATCAGTAGGAGGATGTACGTGGGGCTGATAACACGGCCTCCACTGTGGAGGTGATCTGTCATAGCCGGCACCTTGTAGTTCCAGTGTGTTACCTGAAGCTGCCCTGTCCGCCTGTCCAGGTCCGTTCTGAAACATTGTCACTCAACATAGTCACTAAAAGGACGTGGGTGAAGTGTTGGTAGTGTCCTGAAACATAGTCACTTATAGGACGTGGGTGAAGTGTTGGTAGTGTCCTGAAACATAGTCACTTATAGGACGTGGGTGAAGTGTTGGTAGTGTCCTGAAACATAGTCACTTATAGGACGTGGGTGAAGTGTTGGTAGTGTCCTGAAACATAGTCACTTAAAGGACGTGGGTGAAGTGTTGGTAGTGTCCTGAAACATAGTCACTTATAGGACGTGGGTGAAGTGTTGGTAGTGTCCTGAAACATAGTCACTTAAAGGACGTAGGTGAAATGTAGGCAGTGTCCTGAAACATAGTCACTTAAAGGACGTGGGTGAAATGTAGGCAGTGTCCTGAAACATAGTCACTTAAAGGACGTAGGTGGAAATGTAGGCAGTGTCCTGAAACATAGTCACTTAAAGGACGTGGGTGAAGTGTTGGTAGTGTCCTGAAACATAGTCACTTATAGGACGTGGGTGAAGTGTTGGTAGTGTCCTGAAACATAGTCACTTAAAGGACGTGGGTGAAGTGTTGGTAGTGTCCTGAAACATAGTCACTTAAAGGACGTAGGTGAAATGTAGGCAGTGTCCTGAAACATAGTCACTTAAAGGACGTGGGTGAAATGTAGGCAGTGTCCTGAAACATAGTCACTTATAGGACGTGGGTGAAGTGTTGGTAGTGTCCTGAAACATAGTCACTTAAAGGACGTGGGTGAAGTGTTGGTAGTGTCCTGAAACATAGTCACTTATAGGACGTGGGTGAAGTGTTGGTAGTGTCCTGAAACATAGTCACTTAAAGGACGTGGGTGAAGTGTTGGTAGTGTCCTGAAACATAGTCACTTATAGGACGTGGGTGAAGTGTTGGTAGTGTCCTGAAACATAGTCACTTAAAGGACGTGGGTGAAGTGTTGGTAGTGTCCTGAAACATAGTCACTTATAGGACGTGGGTGAAGTGTTGGTAGTGTCCTGAAACATAGTCACTTATAGGACGTGGGTGAAGTGTTGGTAGTGTCCTGAAACATAGTCACTTATAGGACGTGGGTGAAGTGTTGGTAGTGTCCTGAAACATAGTCACTTATAGGACGTAGGTGGAAATGTAGGCAGTGTCCTGAAACATAGTCACTTAAAGGACGTGGGTGAAGTGTTGGTAGTGTCCTGAAACATAGTCACTTAAAGGACGTGGGTGAAGTGTTGGTAGTGTCCTGAAACATAGTCACTTATTGGACGTGGGTGAAGTGTTGGTAGTGTCCTGAAACATAGTCACTTATAGGACGTGGGTGAAGTGTTGGTAGTGTCCTGAAACATAGTCACTTATAGGACGTGGGTGGACATATATGTAGTGTCCTGAAACATAGTCACTTAAAGGACGTGGGTGAAGTGTTGGTAGTGTCCTGAAACATAGTCACTTATAGGACGTGGGTGACATGTATGGTAGTGTCCTGAAACATAGTCACTTATAGGACGTGGGTGAAGTGTTGGTAGTGTCCTGAAACATAGTCACTTATAGGACGTGGGTGAAGTGTTGGTAGTGTCCTGAAACATAGTCACTGGGTGAAGTGTTGGTAGTGGACGTGGGTGAAGTGTTGGTAGTGTCCTGAAACTTGAAGGACGTGGGTGGTTGGTAGTGTCCTGAAACATAGTCACTTATAGGACGTGGGTGAAGTGTTGGTAGTGTCCTGAAACATAGTCACTTATAGGACGTGGGTGAAGTGTTGGTAGTGTCCTGAAACATAGTCACTTAAAGGACGTGGGTGAAGTGTTGGTAGTGTCCTGAAACATAGTCACTTAAAGGACGTGGGTGAAGTGTTGGTAGTGTCCTGAAACATAGTCACTTAAAGGACGTGGGTGAAGTGTTGGTAGTGTCCTGAAACATAGTCACTTAAAGGACGTAGGTGGAAATGTAGGCAGTGTCCTGAAACATAGTCACTTAAAGGACGTCGGTGGAAATGTAGGCAGTGTCCTGAAACATAGTCACTTAAAGGACGTAGGTGGAAATATAGATAGTGTCCTGAAGCATAGACACTGAATTGCCGTGGGAACGCATTGTCGTTGTCAGCTTGGTTTCAAAGATATGTTGATGATGACGAGACGCTAAAGTTACCCCTGATACAAGTTAAACAAGAGACGATGACAAGATTACCGTGTCTGTGGCTATCGAGGCCGT